ACTTCCACGGGCCTCTGGCAGTCGAGGAATGCAGGCCTGCACGAAGTCTCTGTTCTAGCCTGATTCCTTTGGCTGGGAGGAAAGTGTTACCAACTGTCACTTTCAAATACATAACCCGCTGGCTGGCTTTGTGTCTCTTATTTTTTAAAGGGTACCCATTGCATACCCATAAAATAAAATGGAATAGCCAACTTGGTCAAAGTAGGGTATAGAATTTTTGCAGGACAGTTGTGAGGTTTGTGGAAGCAAGCAGTTGTGCAGTGGCAGTCACTTTTCCACCCTTGCCTGGACTTCTCTGCAGAGGCTCAGAGATCTAAAACAGGCCGGCCGGCAGGGCGTGTGTGCAGGCCTGTAATCCCACCTGCCAGCAGGCCAAGACAGGACAGTGGCAACTTCAAGGCCAGCCTGGTCAACTCAGTGAGACCTAATCTCCAAACAAAACAAGAAGGACTGGGGAGGCCGCTTCATAGCCCAGGCAGGGTGAATCCCCAGTGCTGGAGGAAAGGAGGTTAGGACTGTTCAGATGCCCAGATTTGCCTGGCAGGAGTGAATCCCTCACCTGAGGAATTTGTTTTGCCTTGCTCACTTCTTGTGCACTTTATCATTAAAGTTTTTAGTGCGTGTTTGCCATCCACAGCACCTGGTGGATTCCTGCTATCCATGTTGCATCTTGGTTATTCTCCTCCTCCTTCTTCCCACTCCGTTCTTTTCCCTCTTCCCCAGGTCTCCCTCCCATTACCACAAAATCCACCTCCCTGACTCCCACTGTCTCTCCTTAAATTATTTGTATTTTGGGTTTCTGTGGAAGAGAAGCCATGTAATTTTTAGCCCTCTATGTCTGATCTATTTCATTCAGCACTGAGGTCTCAAAATCCCTCTGTTCTTCTACAAATACTCAAATTTGTTTTCTTGAGTCTGGATGTCACTATGTTGCCTAGGCTTCTTTGAATTTGAGATCCTCCTGTCTCGGCCTTCTGAGTAGCTGTGCTTACCGGCATGCCCCACTGCACCTGTCTTCATGCATTTTAATCTCTCAGCTTTGGAGTCCCTTTAGTGGAACCTAAGCATGTTTGTCCATTTTACCTGAAAGAACAACAGGTGTTCTTTATTTTTTATTTTAAAGAGGCCAACTGGTATTGTTGCTCATTTAAATTAACCTATTTAACATGAGAGTTTTATTTTAGTTAATGAGTTTTCAGTACTAAAGATTGAACCCAGGTCCTTTCTTCCAAGCTTCCAGTCCTTTTTTTGTTTTTTGTTTTTTTTTCATTTTTTTGAGACAGGATTTCACTATGCAATACAGGCTGGCCTTACACTCATTTTATTTCCCAAACTGGCCTTGAACTTTCAGTGATGCTCCTGGCTCACCCTACCAAGTACTGGGATTAGAGATGTGCACCACCACGCCTGGCTCTTTAGTCCTTTTATTATTACTATTTTTTGGTACTAGGAATTGAACTCAGGACCTTGTGCTTGCCAGGCAGGCACTTGTGCCATTGAGCCATATCCCTAGCCCCTTTCATTATTATTTTTTGGGACAGGTTTCAGGAATTGAACTCTTGAGCCTGCCGGGTAGGTGCTTATGCCACTGAGCTATTTCCCTGGCGCTATTTTTTTGTTTTGTTTTGTTTTGGGGACTGGATCTCATTAAGTCCCTGAATTGCACAAGCTGGGCTTGAACTTTGATCCTCTTGTCTTGGCCTCCCAGAGTGCTGGAATTATAGGCATGGGCCATCATGCCTGGCTATAAGTTTTATTTTAAGTCCCTTTTGACATACTGACCAAACATTAAGGCCTTCTTCTCAGAACAAAATCCCTGTGTAAAATAAGGTAAGGCATATAGTATTTTGGGTTTTTTGTTTCGTTTTGTTTTTGGTGCCAGGGATTGAACTCATGGCCTTGTGCTTGCCAGGCAGGTGCTCACAACGCTGAGCTAAATCCCCAGCCCTTAGTATTTCCTACTTAAAAGATAAAAAAAATCAGCCAAGAGCAGTTAGAAAGGGCATTAAGCACACAGAATATCTGTAATTTGTGGAAACACAGAGCACGGCAAAGCGGACAGGGTTGACAAGACCCACTGCATGCGTCCCTGCTGGGCACTTCATACACGTGCGGGTAGCATGTACACAACTCAGCTGGAGAGAGGGGACTCTCAGGGACAGCCCAGCTCCCCAGCCTTTGCTTTCAGAGACCAGGACAGTCCCCATCTGGCCCCACACGCCCTGAGGCGTCCTGCCAGCTGTCCGTGGCTCTGAAATGTCCTGGTGATCCGGAGTAAATTAGCAAACAGAACACAGTTGAAGAAATATTCTAGCACCACTGCTCCCTGCCTTATTGTGCCAGGTGAAAACAATCAGAGGCTGGGCACAGCCCCAGGGGATGGCGAGCTCTGCCCCTTCTCCCCACAGAGAAGGATTACAGCAGCCTATGCGACAAACAGCCCATCGGGAGGCTCCTCTTCAGGCAGTTCTGCAACACCAGGCCAGATCTCAGGAAGCGCCTCGAGTTCCTCGATGCTGTGGTAAGCAATCATCATGGGGGCGCGGTCCAGCCTTGGGCTTTTGAAAGTTGAAGCACCAGGCCTGGACAGTGACCAGGAGTGAATGGACAGTGGTCTTGGGGGTGGGCTGTCCTGTTGGTAGGGAAATGTGTTCAGTGCAGGTGCTGTTTCCTGGGTAGTGTACTGCGGGGGTTCAGGGTTGCCACCGCGCACTACCTGGGCCTGGACCAAGCTGCGCAGGCCCTGTGAGACAGTGTCCTCCTCAGTGTGCAGGCCGCTGCCCTCCCTGAGCGGAGGCCATGTGGTTTAAGTGCTTGGCTCCAAAGCACCCGCAAGGGATGCAGTTTCGAGAAGCACAGTCGCTTCATGGGCATCCACTGTGCTCCCTGAGGTTTCTGGCATTGTCTTGCATCCTGTTCGAGACCTACTGTTTGAGAAAGTTAGGACTCCTGCTATCAGACATAGAATTTCAGAAATTCAGAAGGACCTGACCAATAGAAAATGGGTGGCATTCAGAAAAGACTTGCTTTTAGTTACTTGTGCCCTGACCTCAGCTTTTCACCTCTTCCCTTTGCCCCATCCCAGGTGTGTCAGCAAATATGTATGGAGGCAAAGATGATCTTGTGTCACTGAGTTTCTGTTGCTGTTTTTGGTCTGATGCTTTGTAAAAGCCTTGTAAAAGTTCCTAAGACTTTTCTCGTTTCTCCTATCCCCTGAAACTCCCTGAGTCCTTTTCTTTTTTTGCATTCTTGTTAGACTAAGACAAAACTTAGAAATGGAACAATTCTGTCTTATTTTGTTTTACATTTTCTGTCCTGGGAATTGAACCCATGGTCTCTGCACTGAGCTACACCCCCAGCCTTTATTTTTTATTTTGAGATTGCGTCTCACTAAGTTGGCCAAGCTGGGCTTGAACTTGAGTTCTTCCTGCCTCAGCCTCACGGAGTGCTGGGATTACTCCATATGTGTCACCACACCTGCCTAATCATTTCATCTTACAGCTAAGGTTATAGCTAAGGGAAGTGCTGCTTGGTTCCAGAGGTGGAATGTGGATGCAAATTTTTATGCAGTGGGATATACTTACCAAACTCTGATACATTTTATAAATTTAGGGACCTAAATTTATGTCAGAATGGCTAACGGTATCGTTAGGGCCCTGTTGTAGGGCCTTAACTTTTCCACAGTTACCATTATGTCTGTTGGTTATTAGGCTATGGCCAGGTGGCTGTGGTGACAGGTTTTATTTATGGGGGTCCTGTGGCCTCAGAGAGAACCTAGTGATGCTGTCTGTGCAGCACTCGTTGCTCAGGCAGCTTTGTGGCAGGGACACGCAGGTTCTGCAGTATGGGACACTGCATCTCAGCCGTTTCTCCAACATTGCCTGCCTCTTGCTCATTTGATCCCTTGCTCGGTGTTTGTTGAATGAGTAGCATCCGAGCCAAGCAGGGTTCAACCAGAGGGGCAGAAGCAGCAGGAAGGATATATGGCCAAGAAGGGGGAGGTGGGTGGGCAGAACTTCAGAGGGTGTGTGCAACTTTCCACGATCGGCTGAGGGTAGAATTTCTTCTGCTCTACCAGGGTCAGCTGGGAGGGAGCCACACAGACCCTGCAGGACTTGCACCCTGTCTGCATGCCAGTGGCCCCCAGGCTGAGAGCAGGGAGCTTGGGTACCTGCAGAGCCATTCCCAGGAGCAATGCACGTAGGGACCTCACCACCACTGTTTTGCCACAGTGTGCTGTGCATTGGGATGCATCTGGCCGCCACCTCTACCTTCCCAGGCTGCTGTCTGGGACCCTTCTGACAAGGGCAGAAGCCTCGTGGTCTAAAATTCACTTGTGTGCCTGTTTGCCTGCCTGGAACAGCTTCTCGAGTTCTAAGGAGCTGCTTAGGGAAGTGATTTCTTTTTCTCTGACAGTGGTTTCATGATATTGTCTTCTCCTGTGGTCTCACCTCTGACCCCTGACCCCTGACATACACCCCCACAGTGTAGGTGACTCCTGCTTTGGTATCACCTGCTTTGCTTTGCTAGGAGTTGATTCAGCTTCCCAAGCAACCCCGGAGAGTTCTAAATGGGGGCTGACTAGCCCATGCAGCTTAGCCCTAATTAACAGCTAGAGGTACACTGTGGCACAGCATCATTCTGCTGCCGATATGAAATCAGAGGGGAGCTCGCTGCAGGCAGGTGCCAGGGTGCTCAAGGCCCAGATTCAGTCCCCAGCTCCAAAACAGAAACATTTACTCCTGCAGCCCTCGAGGCCAGAGGAAGGCTGGAGCTGCTGGGTGGGCGCCCTCTTCTGTGGCCATGATGCTGCCAAGTCAGCCCACGAGCTGGAGCTGGGGGTGCGCGACCTCCAAAGGTGACGAAGGCAGCCCCAGCCCCCTTTCCTCCATCTCTCGGGTCAGGCTGAGTATGAAGTCGCCATCGATGAGGACCGCAGAGACCGGGCGCTGGCCATCCTGGAGCAGTTCTTCAGTGCAGAGGTGGGTTTTCTTCTTTGGGACAAAGACTTGTACCGACCTTGCTTAAAAGAGCAAGGTGTGTAGCTGTGTTCACTTTGTTGGTTAGGATGCAACAAATATGCTGAGAACTTTGCTTTTTAAAATAAATATTCCTTTTCGCATTTTTGTTTGATTTCGTAAGTCTCTGAAGAAACCTATTCAAAGAATTTTAAAGTCTCTATGGTTTTCTCAAACAGAATGTAGGATTAGGGAGCTTATTTGTTTCTCTTGGACTAAAAATAATAGTTTTCCCAAAAACCTTAACAGGACTTAGTTTTTATTCTTTTTGATTCAGTAGGTCCTTGAGTTGAATTTAAAAGTGAAATTAGTGTCGCCTGCTTCCTTCCCGTGACTGGTTAGCTGGCCGCTGAGTCCCATGTCCCAGGCAAACTGAGGGCCTGTATGCAAGGAGAGTAGAAACGACTGTGACTGCACTAGACTAACGTGCTCCAAACCTCACGTGTGTGACACATTATTTAAGCCCCCTGCAAACACAGATACTATAATATCTATCTTTTTTTTTTTTTTTTTTTTGTCTTTTTCCTTTTTATCGATACCGGGGATCAAACTCACGACTGCCTGCTTGCAATGCAGGCACTTATGCCACTGAGCTAAATCCCCAGCCCCTATAATATCTATCTTCATAAGACCAAAATTGGAGCTGTTAGGTGGCTTTTTTGAAGTTATGCAGCTAGTAAGTGTTGGAGCCAGGAATGGGCCATGTGCAGAATGAAATGAAGAGAATGGTTGGGTGAGAGTCCAGGACATTCACGTTCTTCTGTCTGGCAGACGGAGATGACAGGGCTCCTGGTTAGGAGAGCCCTGTGCTCAAGACGAGCGCCTGGTGCAGACCTGGCCCTGCAGTGGGCATAAGGTACGCACACAGCAGGTTCAGCCCCGGTGGGTCTGCCTCTGACGCCTGTGTTGCTTCAGTGCAGTCTCACGGGTCCTTCTTTTCAAACCCAGCTGTCAGAACATCTGCATAGTTGTAGGTACCCCGGGACATGACTGGTAGAAGTAGAGTTTCGTTTATCTAGATCTTCTGTGTTTTGTATCAGTGTCTTTTTCTTTTGTTCTCCTGAACAAATGCTGTCTCCATAGCAAGGGGGGCTGGTGTGCTGGTGAGTGTAGCAGATGCAGAAAGGGAAGTGAGGGATGGTTACAAACCCCGTGCTTGGGGACCTGTCAGGAGGGCTGTTGCCACCGACAGGGTAACTTTGTAAGGTGTGATAAAAACATGGAGAATGCTGTTGCCCAAGGCCTTCCCATGCCCAGGCACTCCCTAAAACATGGCATGTGTCCTCCTCCAGCTTACTCACAGGTCCTGACAGCATGGTTCTCCTGGCTTTTTCACAAGGTCAAAATAACCACGCAAGGGAAACATTTAAATCTATCCAGGGCATACTAGCAGCTTCAGTGGTGCGACTGTCAGACCCTCACGAAAGAGGACTTTTGGAACTGGCAGAATGGTGGCAGGAGTGACAGGAAAGTGTTTGAACCAGGAAGTATTTTAAAGGGCAGTAATGGCAGTGTGTGTTCCATATTTTCAATTTTATTTACTTATTTTTTCAGTGTCAGGAATTAAACCCAAGGGCACACTGCCACTGAGCTATATTCCTAGACGTTTTGATTTTTTTGAGATAGGATCTTGGTCCAGGCTGACCTTGAACTTGTGATCTTTGTGGCTCAGCCTCCTGAGTAGTGGGAATTACATGTATCACCACTACTCCCACTCAAGATTTTAAAAAATCTGAACATTCACCTATTTGCCAGTCATACCTTGTACTAGATCACTATGTAAAATCATATCATATTGTTAAATATTATCTATTAAAATAAGAATTAAAGTAATTCCATTTATATTTTCATCAAAACAGTAAAATACTTAGGAATAAATACAACAAAATAAGTGTAATATCTATACCCTGAAAACTATAAAAAATGAAAAAAGAAATAAGGGAGTTCTAAATAAATGAAAAGACATCCCATGTTCATTGATCAAAAGACTTAACATTGTTCTAGGCATGATGGTGTATGCCTGTCTGTAACCCCAGCATTCTAGGAGGCTGAGGCAAGAGGATCACAAATTCAAGCCATCCTAGGCAGTTTAGCGGCTTAGTAAGAATGGCTTAGTGAGACCCTGTCCCAAAATAAAGCTGGGAATGGAGCTTATTGGAGAGGTCCTGGGATCAATCGTCACAACTGGGAGATTAATATTGTTTATGTTGTAATACTCCCAAATTGATACATGGATTCTGTACAATTCATACCAAAATTCTAGCTGCTTATTTTGTAGAAATTAAAGAGCTGTTTTAAAATTCATATAGATAAGCTAGGTATGATGGTACATACCTATAACCCTAGCTTTGGAGGCTGAGGCAGGAGAATTGCTATAAGTTCGAGGCCAACCTGAGCTGCAAGCTGAGTTCAAGGCCAGCCTTGGATTACATAATGAAACTGTCTCAAAAGGACAACAAAAATCATATGGCTATTCAGAGGCCCCAAAATAGTTATAATACTCTTCAAAAGAGAAAACACACATTTATCTATTTGAAACCTCATTATCAAGATAGTAATCCAGGTGATATGGTTTAGTACTTGGATAAAGTTAGAGCCAATAACATTGAATTGAGAGTTCAGAAACTCCTACATTTGCAGTCAGTTAATTTATGGCATCTTAGTTACTTTCTCTTTGCTGGGACATAATAATCAACACCCACAAATTAAAGGAGGAAGGCTTTAGTTTAGTTCACAGTTTGTAGAAATTTCAGCCCATAATCAGCTGGCTCGAAGGCAGGGTGGCATGGCAGGGGAGAAGTGACCCTTGGCGGGGCAGGCAGGAAGCAGGGAGCTCTCCTTCCTTCCCTTTTCATTCCGTCCAGGCTTCTAGCCTATTGTCTGGTGTTAGCCACACCATGGGTGTGTCTTCCCTCTTCAGTAAATTCGTGATCTAAACCTGGAACTACGTGAAACCAATCAGTGAACTAATCCAGCACCACAGCCATGGTCAGGCGCTGCCCCAAAGTCCACCTATGAGTCAGGCAGCTTTGAGGGGCGTCTAGATGTAAGCTGTAACAGTGGGAAGGCCCAAGACAATCCAGGGGACGAAAGGAGTCCTTCCAGCACTCAGTGCTGGAACACCAGATACCCATGTGAAAGCAGTTTCAAAAGGATGCAGACCTAAACAGAAGAGCTAAACTAATTTTCTAATATCCTAAATACATAAAGAATTTTACTGTCACCTGATGGGGCCAAAGGAGGTGCCCCGTAGAGGAGGTGGGGTTCTTATCTCACCCCACTCACAGAGTCATTGAAAAGAATAACAAGGTGTGTCAATGAGAGACACAGAAAGGATTCTTACGCTCAGTGAAGGCATCCACCCCGGAAGGGAGCAGAGTGTGGCCTGCAAGTGGCCGAAGCGTGGTGATCTCAGGGTTTTCACTGGGTCTTCGGGGCAGGATCGGGGTGTGGATTCCTGTGTCTTCAGGCTGCCCCTTGCCGGGCTGGGCAGAAGCAAACCGGCTGCCCACTTGAGTTCGTCTGAGTTCAGAGCGATGCTGTGCTGCTGCTCCCTTGGCCCTTCCTTGAGATCAGGTCTGGGGATGGAGGAGCCTGCAAGGCCCGGCGGAGTTGTTTTGCCCTGAGTTTCCTGAAAGGGAAAGAGGCAGTGGAACCCCGAATAGCTTCAGTGAGCTGAAGCTGCAGTTTTTCTTGAAAGTGCAATTTTAAAATTACTCTTTTAAATTTGGTATATTTTCTACCTATCTTTATGTCTTCTATCCTGTTGGAGACTGGTGAAGCTGAATACACATTCAGGGCTGTGATGTAGCCCAGGCATGACTGAACTGAGAATGAGGAGACACCACAGGGGGCAAGACAGGCCACCACTGAGGCCACCTGGGGACTTTCTGGATAGTTCTCCTTAATTAGCATCATCTGTTGCTCTGAGGGGTCCTTGGTCCCCCGCCCAAGATCCTGTTCAGGTTTTCTCCATTGTCCACTGAACTCCTTGCCTGTTCTGATTAAATACTGCTCAGGGTCAGTGGGCCAGCCCGCTAGCAGAGTTACGAGCTCTGCCGAGGATTTCACTCCTCCTGCAGCCCTAAAGACCAGGCCCTGTGCCTCATTCCTTTGAGCCTTCACCGTGCACCCATTTGGGAGTTTAGGGTCTAGGTACAGACCCCAACAAGTCAACAATAGAACAATTCAACTTAAAGTAAATAGCAAGGTAAATATATTTTTAAACCTGTGTGTAGTTTTGCAAAATCCACCTGCCCTTCCCTCCCTTTATTTCCTGTTCGAGTTGCCTGTGTCCAGAGTGCTCAGAAGCCAGCTCTGTGTTATTGCTGCATGTGTCCTGGTAGCTGCCTGCAGCTGTCCTACCTCAGTAGAAAGCCCTGGCATCTCAGGTCGCTTTCATTTGTTTCACATCAGGCTGGTAGCACTGTGCCTTGTCTTGCTGTACTTTACCTTACCTCACTTTTCTGCTTGTGGAGATTAGGATTACTTTTCCTTTCTGCAGGAATTAATAACTATTAATATAAGCTGTTTTGTTTTGTTGTGTTGTTTAGGGGCGCTTTTTTTTGCCTTTTTTGAGACGGGGTCTCGCTATGCAGTTCAGGCTGGCCCTGTTCAAACTCGCAATGATCCTCCCACCTCAGCCTCCTGAGTGCTGGGATTACAGGAGTGAGCCACCACGCCCGGCTTTTTTTTTTTTTTAGTTTTTTGAGACAAGGTCTTACCACATAGCTCAGGTTGGCCTCTGAGTGCTGGGATTATAGGCATGCTTCACCATGCCCAGCTTAATATATTTTTAAAGATATTGATACTAGGATGTCTTTAGGAGTTAATCATTGAAGAGTCTTGGTAGAATCACACTGCTATTTAGTTTCATAAAATTGAGTTCTTGAAAGAAGAGAGAAGACTATTGAAACACTGGCTTTGTTTTCTAAGAAAATGTCTTGTTTTCCCATCTCCAGTTCCTGGAACAATGCATATTTGTTGAGTAAATGAACAAGCGAACATCTTCCCTTAAATGCTATTTTTTTAGGTTATTGTTTTACTTTATTTTTTTTTTTTTTATCGGTACCGGGGATCAAACTCACGACCGCCCGCTTGCAAGGCAGATGCTTATGCCACTCAGCTAAATCCCCAGCCCCTACTTTATTTTTATTTGTTTGTTTTTGAGACAGAATCTCACTGTGTAGTTCAGACTGGCCTTAAACTCACTGTGTAACCCAGGATGGCATCAAACTTGTGGCAGTCCCCCTGCTTCAGCCTCCTGAGTGCTGGAACACACCTGTAACACAGCCCTTAAAGGCTGCTTTTCTCTTGGCCTGGCTGCATAGAAGGGAACTGGGCTTAGTGTCCTGTAGGGTGCTTTTTGGGTGGTCACCAGCATGGTTTGTGCCTTCCAGCTGGCTCTTCTCAGCCACTGGGGTTGCAAGATCAAATGAGGTGATATTGCCAAAGTACCTCACCTAATTTACCTAACAGCTGTTAATCGTTATGAATTATAACAGTATTGTTGATTTTCCTTTTTTTAGTTTTGCAGTACTGGGGTCAAACCTAGGATTCCTGCATGCTAGGTGTGAGCTCTGTCCCTGAGCTGTAACCCCAGCCCTAGATTTTCTTCCAGTGAGTTTCTTCCTTGTTGCATATTGCTGTCAGTAGTTCAACTTCGATGAACTTTGATTTATAGAAAACACAAATGTTTGCTGTGTGTCTTGGCTATACCATAGTCAGAAACCAGTCTGGAATGCATTTCTTATTTCAAATTACAAATGAATAATTGGGCGTCTTCTGGGTGTTTTTTCATTGAATACACAATCACGTCATGTTTCCTTTTCAAAGAGGTTAGGGAAGTGGCACATTCCGACACTGTGAGAGTGTTTAGACACATCAATATTTATAATGTGTACATACATGAGGTGTACACATTATATGAGATGTACATTATATGAGGTACTAATTCTGTTTTAGGACCCATTCTGTAGAAACCAAGCATTTCAAGATGCTGATGGTAGTGATATTTGCAGTGGGAAAATTGGCAGCTAGAATGTTCAGCAGGGGCAGGTAAGCCCCTGGAAAATCATAGAGGAATCATAGTTATACAGCTAGCCATATATTTTTTTTCCTATACATATTAGAACAAAGATGATGCGTGTATTTCTGAGGAGGGGTATGTGTGTGTGGTTTAAATTATCAGCTTGTATTGGGAAAACACGGAAGGTAAAATTTACTGTGTTAAACATTTCTATGTGTATAATTCAGTAGTGTTAAGAACAGCAACACTGTTATGTAACCAGTTTCCAGAGCCTTTTTCATCTTGCAAGACTACACATCTAGCCAGGTGTGGTAGCTGTCATCCCCTAGAATATCCTCAGGATAGATTCAAGGCTAGCCCAAACTCCTTAGTGAGACCCTGTCTCAAAAACAAAGCAAAACAAACCCTGGAAACCTAGCGTTGAACTCCCTGATACCCTCTCTCCAGCTGCTAGTAATTGCCTTTGCACTTCTTATCTCTATAAACTCGGGCTCATCAGTGAAGTCATGCATATGTTTGTGCCCTTGAGACTGGCTTATTCTACTGAACGTAGTATCCTCCGAGTTTGCCCATATTGCAGTGTCTGTCAGAATGTCCGGTGTGTGTGTGTGTGTGGTGTTGGAGATTGAACCAGGCCCCACACAGGCCAGGCCCAGGCTCGCTCCACCATAGAGTGTGCTTCCTTTCTGGGCCTGGCTGTGTGTGCCACTTTTTGTTCAGCTATTCAGCCATTCGTGGACACTTGATGGTTTCTGCCTTGTGGCTGATTGAACACAGTGAGCACAAACCTCCTGCAGACTCTGCTTTCCCAGTTGGACAAGTCTCAACTCCTCGGGGTGGGCTGGGGCAGAGAATTCAGCTGGTGTTTTGACTACCACTTCGTATACTTTATGTTTTCATTTTTCACAGCAGACATCAAGTTCTATTTGTCATTGTAAAGTATAAAATCACTAATTGTTATGTCTCTGCTTTGTGCTATGTTGAGAACTCACCAGCTTTTTTACCAGAGATACCCACGGATGCTGTGAGAGAGTGTAGATGGGATGTGAACCAGAACTTCTGCAAAAACATCTTTGAGGGATGCATGAGGTGAGTGGTCTGTGCACAGCCCTGCTCCTCTCTGCTTCTCTATCTGTGGGTGCTTCCGGGACAGGGTGTTACAGGAAGTTTCTCTGCGTGAGACAAGCTTTTATCAGAGCACGTTCCCAGTCAAATTGAACTCTTTCACTGGAAAAGATAGTGAAGCGCACGAATGACACGTATACACGAGTCACCCTGAATGTCGTAGCCCTAAGCCCTAGGACGCCGCTTCCCTGGGACAGCTCGGGCCACCTCTGCTCTGCTTTCCAACATGCCTGTGTCTAGGATGAGGAAGTTCTCAAAATGATTTTGGAGACGTAGGCATTTGACAAATGTATCTTTCTGCGCCTCTTTGCGATAAGACAGAGGAATTCTAAGGCAGACCACTTCAGCTAGATTCAGGTTCCTCATGCACCTGGCAACCAAGTTCCAAACGTGCAGTGTGATCCCTCTTTCCATAGTAAGGAAACCAAGGCTTGCCTCGGGTACCAGGCAGGAAGTGTCCTTCACTCTGAGAACAGTTAAGGTGAAAGCTTGTGGCAGTTTTCAAAGGCTTCTCAGGCTGTGTGGTAAAGGTTGATTGGAAAGGGGACGCAGCCCAAGGGACCGTGCCTCTGCCAAGGGACTGGGCCAGGCGAGACACTATGATCTGCTGGGTGCATGGCAGAGGTGGCAGTGGAGGCAGCTGGGAGACAGGTGGGCAGTGAGACCCCCTGTTCTTGTCGGGCTGGTGTTGAGTCGGAGGTGAGCTTGGGTCACAAGCAAAACTGCAAAACACTGACCCCCACGTGTCCCTCTGGGCAGTCCAGCCTGGATTTGGCTGTCGCTCTCTGACCAGGTGTGATGGAGGCTGTGGCGCCTGAGCCTAGGCTTCTTTCAGAGTGTGTCTCTGCATCCCCAACCTGAGCTCAGCGCTCTGGCTTCTGCCCCCTCCCTCAGTCACATTGAGTAGAACTGTGTTGGTAGAGGCAGGTAATAGCCAATGACCAGCGAGGCAGGACCTGCTACCCACCTGCTGTGGTGAGCTGTGCCTTTGCCCCTCTGCGCCCTCCAGTGACTTCACTGTGCCCAGTTGCAGAGGCTCAGTGCTTGAGGATAGAGTAGTTAGCACCCTCTCTCGAGGACACCCGCTGGGCAATTATCAGCCTGGTTTTCACAGGTTTGCAAAGGCCCTGGTCCCCAGAGAAGGTGACACTGAGGGAGGGCTCCTTAAGGAAAGAGGATAGAAAGTGAGCTGCTCTAGACAGCCTCTGGGACAGTGCGTAGACACACAATCATGGCAGTGGCTCTTCCAGTCCTTTGGATCTCACTCCCACAGGACTGAAAGCCAGCGGGCCTGTGTCACATGGGTGGTGTTTTGCCTGGGAGACATCGTCCCTCGGAACAGTGACGTCACTGTGCCTTATGTCTTGAGAGACGCAGACCTAAGAAAGGCACATGGTATCCTTGGGCTAACACTAAAGTGGTTTCCACGGAGAACATCCTGCAAGGAGCTAGGAGCTGGGGATCAGCAGGATCCACAGGTTTTGAGGATATAGTTCTGTCATGTGAATCAATCCACAAACATGTGAGCCATCTCTTTTATTTTTTATTTTTTGTCTTTTTGAGATAGACTCTTGTGATGCAGTTCAGGCTGGCCTTGAGCTTACCTTGGAGCCCGGGCTGGTCTCAAACTCTCAAAGATCCTCCTGCCTCAGCCTCCCGAATCCTAGGATTACAGGCCAGCCGCCTCTTAATAAAATAAAGTAAAATGGAACACATGTGATTGACTCAGATTCTGAATCTCATGGAAAGGCTCAGACCGTTCCCAGTGCTTGCTTGAATTCTGGCCTGCTTATTGCTGCTCAAACTCTCCTTCCTCCTCTTTGTTCGAGCAGCTTTGTTTGCTTCAGCCCAGACCACTTTCTTCAGCAGCCCCCAGTGCTGCCCAGAGGATGTGTCCCTGCCACACCCCAGGCGCGAGGGCCCTGTCGTCTCGCTCAGCAGGGCCTTGCACCCAGACACAGTTGTGGAGTTTTGTGCAGTGAATGTCTCTAACTGTGTGCCATCTTTTTCTAGTATCGTCCATAAGTATTTGAGTAAAAAACCATTTGAAGAATACCAAGAAAGCCCGTATTTTTCTCGATTTTTACAATGGAAATGGCTGGAAAGGTACATTTTAATTTAAAATTTAAAAACTAGTAGTAACTTCTCATAATATATAATGATTGCGGTCTACTTTTCTCTCTGTCACAGCACTGCTTAGAAATCTTGAACCGTACATGGTATTTCATATAGAAGTTATTAATATGAGGAACAAGTGTAGACACCATATTATATAACTTGTTCTGGTTCACTGGAAGCTGTTTTTGCTTATAAAAATGGTAGTTGGAAATGGCATTTAGCTTGTTGGTGCAGTGGCTAGAAAATAAAATAGATCCTGGGTTTGTACCCGGAGAACAGGATGTGGGGACTGGGGCTGCAGAGGCTCCTGCTCAGCCTCCTCCTAGCTGCGTGACCTCAGGCAAGTGGTTGTGTCATTATGTGCTCCGGATCCTAGTTTTGTACAACACAGGGAATTACAGAACTTACCTCGTAAAACTGTTGCTAAGATCATCAGGAGAATGTGTATAAAATGTCCAGCCCAGCCAGACACCATAGTGTATGCTTGGAATCCCACCTGTCTAGTCAGGAGGTGAAGTGGGAGGATCTCAATGCACGTGTGTGAACAGCTTAGTGAGACCCTATCTCAAAACATGAAAAGGGGCTGGGGCACAGCGCAGTGGTGGAGTACTTGCTAAATATCTGGGAGGCCTTGGGTGCCATCTTCAGCACCCTCCGCCCCCCAAAAAGGAAAAAGAAAAACACCTAGCCCAGTGTTCAGTGCTCAAAAGGCATCTGCTACTGGTGCAATTATGATTATTACTCTTACTACTAAAGTTATTATTGATTATATTTCTAGCTATAGCTCCTGCACTTTTTCTTTAGACACTGAGGTTCTTTTCTCAAAAGATAGTGCTGTGTTTACATCATTTTCCTTGGCAGATTGCTGACAGGTGTAGCTGTATGCCCAACACCGTGATTTGTAAACATGGATAGTTCCTGGTGTGGGTGCTTGGAGATTTGTCATTAGTTACAGAGGATAACTGGACTGTTCTGCACATTTTCAATTTTTATTTTATTTTTATATTTATTTATTGGCCTTTTTGACACAGGGTTTCACTGTGTAGTTCATGCTGCACTTCAATTATGTGGCCCAGGCTGGCCTCAAACTTGCAGCAATCCTCCTGCCTCAACCTCCAGAGGTGTACCATCGCACCTGATGTTTTTGATTTTGAGACAGTGTCTTGCTAAGTTGCCCAGGCTGAGCTCAAACTTGTGGTCCTCTTGCTTCAACCTCCCAGAGTGCTGGGGTTACCACGTGTGGCTGGATCTTAAAATGTTGCTTCTCTTAGTGGAGAGCAGTCCCCTGCGCTCAGCTGCCCCAGCCTGGGCATTCCCTTGAGCAGTAGGAGCATGAGAAAGGCTGCCGGCAGGCCTGGGTAGGCTTCCTGTTTTATGACATGAAACCTAAACTTTTTTTTTAATTGCTTAGGCAACCGGTAACCAGGAAAACGTTTAGACATTACAGAGTTCTAGGAAAAGGCGGATTTGGAGAGGTGAGTAGTGGGAGCGGGGCAAGCCACCCTTGTGCCTTAGCCAGCGCTAAGAAAGAGATGGGTTTGAGCGAAAGCTACTTAGCTACAAGCCTTTCAAAAAATCCCTAATCTTTGTGAGTTTATCTTCCACTTTCCGTTTCTGACAGAAGCTGTTTCCCTTGCTTGATGTTCAATTTCAGGCAGCTTATCCAGACTGAAGATAAGTGTTTCCACATTGTAAAATTTCCATTACTCCATTCCCACCTTCCAAGTAGACAACAGACCCAGCCTACTATCAGCCAGTAACCTGGTCCAGCTTCCAATATCAGACAAGATTGGGCTTTTCGGGTGGGTATGGATGCAGACCATTACTCTGTTTCTATAATTTAGGACTAGCCCTAAAAGTTATGTAGTTTAGAGTGTCTTTTTTTCTTTTCTTTTATTTATTTATTTTTTTTTTAAGAAATGAGGTCTGCTTATCATCCTAGTGCTCTGGGGGGTTGAGGCAGGAAGGCTGCAAGTTCAAACCCAATCTGGACAATTTAGCAATTTAGCAACTTAGCAATTTAGCAAGATTCTGTCTCAAAATGAAAAAAACAAAAGGGGTAAGAAGTATATCTTGATGTATAGGCCCCAAGTTCAGTCCTTACTACTGCAGTGAGACACAGACAGACAGACAGACAGACAGACACACACACACACACACACACACACACACACACACACACAAGTTCACTATGCCAAACTGGCCAAACCTGAGACCTGTCTTAAAACTAAACAAGGGTTGGGATCACAGCTCAGGGGTAGAGCACCCCTGGGTTTAAGCCCTGTTATTGCCAAGAAAAAAACATGTCCACCACTGGAATTGCTGCTCGGGGGCAGAGCACTCCCCTGTCAGATGCCAAGCCCTGGGTTCAGTCTGAGGGAAAACAGAAGAAGGAGTGTTCAGAAATGTGTCAGTCTTGGAAAACCCTTACGCCCCTCTCAGCAGCTTCATGAGTGAGGGCTTTGAATCAGACAGCTCTCCTAGAGAGGGGTAGCACATAACCTGGTGTGATCTCCACAGAGATGCTAATTAGCTCACTAATCATCTGGAGGGACCTCAGTCCCTGAACTTAAGAGCCAGGGGAACCATTGGGCCACTAACATGGGTTTTACATTAGAAGCAGGTTGCACTGCCTGAATGTGGTTTAGACCGTGCACGCTCCCCAATTCCAGTTCTAAGTAGAAGCCAGTAGCATCACCTCAGTGGATGGAGGCCTGACCCAGGAGTGCACACGCTGGCTGGCCTTGGACACCCAGAGAGAATCTGACCAGGACGGTCATAGCCTCAGTTTTTTTTTTTTTTTTAATTGAAATAGAGTCTTGCTGTGTAGTTCAAGCTGTCCTTGAATTCATTATGTAGTGCAAGATGGACTTGAACTCACAGCAATGCTCCTGCCTCACATTCCCAAGTGTTGGGATTATAGGTGCGTTCCATCACACCTGGCATTGCCTCGGTTCTGAGACCTGATGGAATGCTTGGCCTACTCCACCTAAGGCTTTCAGCTGTGTCCAGCCCGAGGCTTGCCTTGCTTGTTGATTGATTGATTGATTGATCTTTTCTCTCTTCTCTCTCTCTATCTCTTTTGTCTTTTTGAGACAAGATCTCACTATGCAGTTTAGACTGGCCTTGGACTCACTGTGTAGTCCAACCTGGTCTCAAACTTGTAGTAATTATCTTGCCTCAGCCTCCTGAATGCAGGATTATAGGTGTGCATAACCACACTTGGCTGGTCCTTTCTTTTTCCAGTAAAAAAGAATTTTCTTGGGCTTCCTATAAAAAATATGAAATAGGGGGCTGGGGATTTAGCTCAGCGGCATAAGTACCTGCCTTGCAAGCAGGCAGTCGTGAGTTCGATCCCTGGTACCGGTAAAAATGAAAAAGACAAAAAAAAAAAAATGCCAAAAAAAATGAAATAGTTAATGTACAGAAGTAACAAAATTCCCCTTTAAAAATGTTTTTATTATAACATTTTAAAAAATGAGAACAAACAGATCTGTGCCCCCAGGTCAGTCAGGATAATCTGAAAGGAACCATCTTCTGTCCATGCCCCTCAGGCCTAGAGACGCATCTCTCTTCTGTCCTTCACGATCTCTTACACACAAGGCTCGGGTTCTGTCCAGAGTCAGAAGGAAAGAGGCTTTGAGGACCTAAATATCTTACGTTTACAGAAGAGCGAAGTTCTAAGTCTGGCTCATAAGATTTTAAAGGTTGCAGGAGTGCCGCGGCCATGTTCAGCCCTTGTAGAGGGCATAGCTGTTTATGGTGGCAGTGATTGCTTTGAACACATTTACCTGGGCTCCCCGTGATTCCGTGGACCAGTGAGCCACGGTGACACCTTACAGAGTGGCTCCAGGTGTCTGCTTCTGCCGGCAGCATCCCTGCTGCTCTGACCTGCTTTCCTTTGCCTTTCTCTGACCTGGCGATTCCACCTGAGGGAATTCATTGTAAGTTTATGCTGGAGAGACAGGCAGAGACTTACCCAAGACTTAATGACAGGAAAACAGTTCAACAAATTCGGCACTAATCATGTTTCTGAATCGTTAATGGTGGGGGAATAATTATGCTATAAGATTGAAAAGGGGGTTCTGGGCTATTCCTTACTCTAGAGCATGCCTGAGCCCAGGTCTGTCATAAAAGGCAGATCAAGGGAATCCAGGTGTGTATTCTTGTACGGCTGCATACAAAGGCAGACTTGGAAGCCTACATGGCAAAATATTAATGATGTCTAGGAATTAAGATGACAAAGATTTTATCTTTGTCCTTTTTACTTCCAACATTTTACATAATAAATTATTTTATTGACAGATAAATTATGTTATGCTTTACACTTGCTTTCAAAGTGATCTACGTGGTGTGTGTGTGTGTGTGTGTGCATATGGTATATGTTGACAAGGGGTGTGTATGTGTGTGTCTGTGGGTACAATTAGTGGCATCAGAGGAAGCAATGGCCATATGTTAAGTCGAAGTCTTATCCTGTCCTCTCCACATAAATGTTCATACTGTAAAATTATGGTAATTCTTAAGCATTATTTTAAGAACTAAATTAACATTATAAAAATTTACAAATATTATGGACTGTCTTTCTTACATCTTCCTTTACCTTTTTGAACCTGTTTTTTAAAGATCTCACAATGTTGCGTGGGCTTATCTTGAACTTCTGGACACAAGTGATCTGTCTGTCTCACCTTTGCAAGAAGCTTGGACCACTGCGTCCAGCTTGGACTTTTTAATTTAAAAAACTAAGATTTTTTTATTTTGTATTTCACATATTTGCTTTTTTACAAAAAACTGAATCAGACATACTAGGGCATAGTTAAATTAAGACAGACATGTCACGGTCACATGTGAACAGCAAGTTTCATTTGTACCATGTCTCATGGTTTACAAAGGACAACCTGAAGGTCACTCGACTCTCAGCACTCTTGGTGGAAGAGAAGCTGGGCGTCAGAAAACAGAACCAGCTCCTGACCTCCAGTGCCCACCACTGAACTCGTGCTGGCTCTTCGGATGCTATTGCTGGACGTTACGGAGAGGGTGGTTTGGTGTAGAGAAAGCAGGTGTGTGAGGGGGCCTTGGAAATGTTCCATGTACATAAGCCCCCTTTTTTAAACTAGGTTTGTGCCTGTCAAGTACGAGCTACAGGAAAAATGTATGCCTGCAAAAAGCTAGAAAAAAAACGAATTAAGAAGAGGAGAGGCGAAGCTATGGCTTTGAATGAAAAAAGACTCCTCGAAAAAGTGCACAGTAGATTTGTAGTAAGTATCTTCTTTTAGTCTTCCTTGTGTTTTGCTTCCTTAGCAGGACTTTTTGTAAGTGTGCATGTGTGTGTGTGTTTTACTGGGTATGAACCCAGGGCTCATGCATATGAAGTAAGTACTCTACCACTAAGCTCCACCCAGCCATTTTTAATTTGAGACAGAGGCTTACTGAGTTGCCCAGGGTGATCTGAGCCTGCAACTCCCTCATCTCATCCTCCCAAGGGGCTAGGATTACAGGCCTGCTCTGGTGTCCCAGTGGTGTAATACTCTCATTCAAGTGCTGAAAGTCCTGTGTTGTATTTTTGCATTGGGTTTGTGTGAAGCTTTGCTCTATAGGGCTGGGAACAGTCTTGTTTATAGGAGCAGCTCTCTTCCTTACTGGCACCTTAGGGTGCAGTACTGAGCCTGCTGCTAACTTGTGATTTGTTACAAGTCCCTGGCTGCCTACCATCCCACTCTGGTCCACTCCATCAGGCCCTGTTCATATCTCCCAGCTCACAGAGGGTTGTCATATTCTCTGTACTGCCTTGGGCTTCCTGGTGGCAGCCAGTGCTTGTCTTAATGCACTGGGAGCCTCCTCTGGGCTGCTTTGGCTTGTGTGGGGGGATGGGGTGCTGTGACTTTGTGCTTGAAGGTCCTTTCTCTTTGTAGCTCAGGGTGGTCTCAAACTTGCAGTGATCCTCTTGCCTCAGCACTCCTGGTACTGGGATTACAGGCATGCACCACAACACCCAGCTGAAGGTCTTGTCTCTTTACCTCCTTTCTGGCCCCAGTCTGTTTTTTACCTTTTTGCTTTTTCTGACCCTTGACACGTTTATTGCCAGAGCTTCAACTACCATATCCCAGTTGGGTGAGACTGTCAACCCTGCCTTCACTGTTCAGGCGATGACTGGATAGAGGGTGGCTGGCATGAATGAGGATCAAGTTCAGGCTTCCCGTCGTGTGGTATGGCTTTCCCCTTGAAACTGAGGTTCCTGCACCTGGTTACCTGTTTCCTGCAGCATGAAGGCTCAGTGTGAAGGCTGGTTAAAAGGAGAGTGTGCACAGTAATCTACACAACGGTCTATGGTGGTAGAGTGATTTCCCAGAAGCCCTTGCATTCTCAGCGACCGGGTCAGCTGCTCAGTGCTGGGCGCAAGGTTCTGGAACTTCACAGCATGGCCTGTGTGCATGATCAGTTGGTGTCCTGTGCTGTTCTGGGAAAACAGTTAATGAAATGAGCCCACTTAAGAGTTGCTTTAAAGTTATTTGTGTAAATGCCTTTGTCTTATCTTGAAACACAGAAATCGCACATCTAGCTTTGTGAAAGGGACATCCACAGCAGTTATAGTTTACTCTATCTAATAATAACCTGGGCTCTGTGTTGTTGACCTCTGGGCACCTAGAAGCAGTTTCATCATCTGAGACTGTTTTTCCTGCTTACGGTGGGAAAGCGGTTCTGACCTCACACCACTGCCCGGCCACGTAGCAGCAGTGCAGCTCCCCACACCTCCAGGCCCTGCCCGCACACACCTTACCAGACACAGGGAAACATCATTTCGATGGCTGTCAGATTAGCTTTTTATAGAACAGTGCCCACCTGGATTAAAAGCCAGCTGAGTGCAGAGGTGCACACCTACAGTTCTGGCTATTCCGGGCCGAAGAAGGAGGAACACAAGTTTGAGCCCAGGCTGGGCAATTTCGCAAGACCTAGTCTCGAAACAAAAAATAAAAAGCTGAGGATGTAGCTACATCCAGGGCTCTGGGTCCAGTCCCCATTTCTATCAAAAATTAAAGCAAACAAGCAAATGAAATCCTCTAGGTCAGTGGTGGCAGACCTGTGTCATGAATGCCACCCTCTCTGTTGGTGGCAAGCAAGGTCACCCCAGCAGCCAACTATTTAGGTTTAATTGTGGTGTTGGTACTTTGCAGTAGACAAATGGGTGTTAGGCTGAATTTGGGTGCTCGGTCTCTAAAGGGTTTGCCATCACTGCTCTAAGCAAACTAGGTTTAGAAGGGAATGACCTCAGCTGGGCATGGTGCTACCCACCTGTAATGCTAGCAGTCTAGAGGCTGAGGCATGAAGTCCCTGTGAGTTCAAGGCCAGTCTGAGCTACATAGTGAGACCTTGTCTCAAGAAGAAGGGCAGGTAGTGGGGCTGCCTTAATCAGCTCTTCAGGACCTGTCATCATCCATAAGACCTGCAATGAGATGAGGGTACCTGCTGTGTCATATTGGAGGCTCCAGCCAGTAAACAGGCTGAGGGAAAAGAGAAAAGGGTTGAGACTGGACAAAGAAAAAGAGTGGTAAGAAGACTATGATTGTCTTCACGTATATCCCCCCTTTCTAGACTGCAGTTGGTTTAGCCAATGATCAGCTGTGAACAGCCAGAAGCATTTACAAAGTAAGAATTTTACTGATAGTATTTACAATAGCATGGGGAAATAGGAAAGCCTAAGAAAGATCTAACAGATGTTTATAAGACTTCCATCTTGAGAACTGTAAAGTGCTATTACCAGAAATTAAAAGAGTGGGATAAGTGGCAGGGGACCATAATCCCAGTGAAGATGCCAGGCCTTCAAGCTGATCCACAGATGAATGGAGTCCCAGGCAGAATCCCAGCAGGGAGACATGTGTGACTGGTCACAGAAGTCAACAGAAAGGTGGTCAAAAGCTTGAAAAGGCAGGGACACAGTTCAATGATAAAACAATTTCTCAGTATGCAGAAAAATATTTTTGGCTGGGCATGGTGGCACAAACCGTGGTCACTGCTGTTGGGAAGGCTGAGGCAGGGTGAAAAAAAAACTTTTACCCAGGAAATTAGGGCCAACCAGTTGATGTAGTAAGGCCCTGTCTCTTCAGACATGCAAACTAAGACTTGATAGATACTTCATAAAAGAGGATCCAAACACCTAGTAAGTATGTGAAAAAGTGTGGAAGTATCCTCTGTGTTTGCAAACACAGAGAAATGTAAATTAAAGCCACCATTAGGGCCTGGGGTGTGGCTCAGTGATAGCATACTTACCTAGCAGGTGGGAGGCCTAGCAGGTATAAGGCCAAGGGTTCCTCCCCAGCACTGCTAAACAAAACTACAAAACCCACCCCAACCATAGACTTCAGCAACTCACCAGCCCAGCTCCAAGCAGGCTGGCCGCACAGGGGCCCTTGCACTGCTGGGGGTGCAGCTGTCCCTGCAAATGCACTGCAGGCCATAATCAGGCGTGTAGAACACAGTGTGCAGCACTGAGATCCAGACTGCTGCAGAAGCTTTGCCACCTCCTTTCTTTACAAGTTCTCTCTGCACCCAGCGGCAGGAAGGGCTCAGAGAGGCAGAGGTTTAAGAGGGCATCTCCCTGCAGCAGGTAGTGTCTGGACATTGTGATTGTGAGTCTAGCATAGATAATTTGAATATTGTTAACAAACAGAAGAAACCACTAATGAGTGAGCAGGTGTTTTGTGTTTTGTTTTCTATGCTGTTGTGTTTAGGTTAGTTTAGCCTACACTTACGAAACCAAGGAAACCTTGTGTTTGGTGCTAACCATCATGAATGGAGGGGACTTGAAATTTCACATTTACAACCTGGGCAATCCCGGCTTTGATGAGAAGAGAGCTATCTTCTATGCTGCAGAGGTGTGTTGTGGCTTGGAGGATTTACAGAAGGAAAGAATTGCCTACAGGTAAGAATGCTGGGCTTCTTGTTGGCTGCTGATGGTTGGGCCAAGGGCAGCTAGAACAGATGACAATGCCCCGGGGGTCTGTCACACCATTGGAACATGGCCAGTCAGAGACATCTTAGTCTTCCGTTCATATTCTCTTTAATCCTTAATAAATTCTTGTCTTGAAGCAGAAGTTTGTCTTTTGCTTAAGTAGACCAGATAAAGATATGAGAAAGCTCCTGTCCAAGGCTCTGAGATATTTTAAAAGTTCTGGAAAGGATATTCACTGTATCTAAGAAAACATTATTAAATGTCTTCAAATAGTATTTTGTTTTATTGCACCTTAGAATGAAGAAAATAAAATTAAATTAAACTTAGCAGTCAGAATTAGTGTCATGAGTATTGATTAATTTTAGGAGAACAGTTTTTCCACCAGTCCCTTAAGTGCTAGGTCCCCAAGCTCAAAGTCTCTTCTTGCTTACACTCCCTGGGCACTTCCATTCATTCCCTTCTGGGGTTCCTCTACCAGAGGTGGAGTGATTCATTCCCTAATAGCAGTTTTCAGCCTTGCCCTTGCTTCTGGACTCCTCTTATCCTCACCTTTCCATCCAGTTGGTCGCCAGCTCATCCTGAGTGTCTCCTACACTGCTCTGGTGTTCAACGTATCTGGTGTCTTCCTTAGGTCTGAAGCTGACAGAGACCTGGACAGGTCCCCCGAGCTGAGCGGCCTTCTGAACACTGATCTGATCCTGTTGCACCATCCACGGGTGTGTGACCCCACAGGGTCTCCCTGGCAACTTGTCAGCCAGGCTTCATGACCCTTTGTGGCACACTTACTTCTCCAGCCTCATTTCCTCCTGCCTCTGTCACAGAGCATACTGCAGTCTCACAGCTTCTCAGGAGTCCTTAGCTGTACACCGTGGTGGTGTTGCCCCTGCAGGGATGCCCACCACCGCCCTATCCCTGTCAATGTGAGGACTGCTTGCTTGTCTTCTCACTGGCAGCATGAGTGGTCCGCCAGCTTCCTCACAGTACTCCAGGCAGTGCCACTCTGGAGCTGGCAGGCCAGGTCTGAGCTTCTTAGAAGCCCAGTCTTGCTGGTCCTATCATGATGGAACTTGGGCTTCTCTTCATCTTACCCATCCATGGGCAGGAGTCTTAGTTACTTTGCTCACTGTTGAGACAAAATAGCCAACACCCACAAGTTAAAATGGGAAGTGTTTATTTAGCTTGCAGTTTGTAAAGGTTTTAGTCCATAATTGGCAGCTTCAAGGCAGAGTGGTGTGGCAGACAGGCATCACAGAGGAGAAACTGTTCATGGTGGGTATAAAGCAGCAAAACAAGCAAAGGACAAGACAGGCCTTTTTCTGTCTTGTATTGTATCCATGCTACCAAGATTAAGGGGGTACCATACCAATCAGTGGACTGATTCATTAATCAGCCATCCTTAACCCCAGCATCACACATGGTAGATTCAGTCACTCTGAAGAAGCCCCACTGTGACCTCATTAGACCTCGCTTCACCTCGCCATCCTTGGGTAGGTTAAATAGGATGGGACAGGGGCTGGGGATTTAGCTCAGCAGCATAAGTGCCTGCCTTGTAAAGTGAGTTCGATCCCCGGTACTGATAAAAAGGAAATAGACAAAAAAAAAAAAGATGGGACACCAGCATGGCAGTGGGGCTGACAAGCCCCTCTCTGTGTCATGGAGCAAGGGGCACTTGCCATGCTGGCCACTGTCCCTGTGGAGACAGGCGGTCATCTGAATCTGCCCGTCCTCCTGGGCCATCTGATGTATCCACAGGTTGGCAGCCATGCTTAGGGCAGCTGGATGTGTGTGTGTGTGTTCCATTATACTGGTATGTTTCAGATGTACATAACGGTAACATTCATCATGGGGAATTTGTACCTGGACATGGTGTATTTTGATTCTATTTTTCCCATTTTCTTCCCCTCCCTTCAACCTCTCTTCCCCTTTACCAAAGCTTTTTTCCATATTTTTCCCTTCTATTCTATTTTTCTTGTCTCTTCTTTCTTTTTCTTCTTCCCTCCCTTGTTTCCCTTCTCATCTGAACATTTTCTCCCCTTTTTCCAATATCTATTATACATCTTAATCCTTATTTATACTTTTGGTTTCTCACACCAGAGAAACAATGTGGTATTTATTTAAATGTGAATGTAGTTTATTTAACTTATGAGTGTGGTCTCAAGGTGCATCCATATAGCTGCCAATGTCTCAAGCCTAGCCTTCTTTACAAAAACCCTACGTCTTCTTTGTCCATTCATCAGTTGATGGGTATTTGAGTTGTTTCCAAGATTTCGTTATTACAAACTGGGCTGCTATAAACATAGGTGTGCATATATAGCTATAGTACATATTTTAATTTTTCGGGAAGATACCAAGAAAAGGAATAGCTGGGTCAAATGGAACCTCTAGTTTTAGTTTTTTGAGGAATCTCCACAGTGATACCCTCAGTGGTTGCAGCAGTCTATACTCCTGATATTCACTATACTCAACAGTGGAAAAGGTTCCTTTTTCCTTATAGCCCCTCCAGCTTTGTTATTGGTTGATTTCTTCATAATAGCCATTCTTTCTTGAGTAAGATGGAATCTCAGTGTTGTTACAATGAGACTCTCTTGAATAACAACTGATGTACATTTTTCATGTATTTGTTTGCTGCTGTTACTTCTTCACCTGAGAAGTGTCTGCTCTTTTCAGATACCCATATTTGGATTGGGTCTTTAAATTTGGGGAGAGGTCTTATTTATTTGTTTGTTTGTTTGTTTATTCATTCATTTGATTTTTTAGGACAGGGTCTCACTGTGTAGTTCAGACTGGCCTTGAATTTGTTTTGTAGCCCAGACTGGCCTAGACTTCACAACAATCCTCCTGCCTTAGCCTCCTGAGTGCTGGGATTGTAAGTGTGCATCACGATACCCCACTTTGAGTTCTTTATATATTCTAGTTACTAGCCCTCAGTCTGAGGAACTGCTGGCAAACATCTTTTTCCCACACTCTGGATTCTCTTTACTCTGTTGGTGGTTTCTGCTGCTGTGCAAAAACTTTATAATACAAGGAGATGTCAGTTGGTGATTCTTTATGATGGTTCTTGTGCAGTTGGGGTTTTTCTCATAAAGTCTTTGCCTCTGCCTGTGTCTTTAAGTGCCACATTCGTCTGCTTTGTGACTTTCATTGCTACCACTTCAGACGGTCCAGCTGGGCAGCCTTCAAATTGTTTGATCTCATTGCCTCCATGATTTGTCTTGAGTGACCTGGAGATCTGGACTGACATCTTGCTTAAGAATCTTCCCATGTTTTATTTTTTTAAGTGTAATTCCTGGGTTGGTGCATATAAATTGCTTATGGTAGGTGGCTTTATTGTTCATTTTTAGAACTCTTAGGAACTATTTCTCCAAGATATCTTCCAGGCATAGCTGGCTTTTGGGCTTTGAAGCTGTTGCAAGATTCTTCCCCTACAGTTTATTGGGTATAGAAGTCGCTGCCTACTTGTTCTAGCCACAGCTTCTTGGCACTGACCGATAGTATTGTGTATGACCCTTCGGCAATCTCAGTCTTGGCATTCCAGGGAGAACAACAGATTAGAACAGTGATGTCACCTTGGCTGAAGTAGTACAATCAGCAACAACATCAGCATCAAATGTAGCCTAGAAAAATCACAAACTGCAGTAATTAGTAGCTTGCCATCTTTAACAGTATGAGCTAGATTTGTAGTTATACAACAAAATATAAAACAAATCAGAAAATTGCATATAGTAAATATGCTCTCACTGTGGTGATTTTACTTTTGGGAGAAAATTTAAAAGGGGCTAGGTTTTGGAAAAATAGAGAAATAGAAGAGGAAGAGATTAGAAATAGGTGGAGGACAAAGGAAAATTATGAAAACTTTGGGAAACTAGGAGAAAAAGAAAGAAAAAACAGAACAGAACAACAACAGTAAAAAACTTAGAACCAATATTCACACATAGAAAAAACAAGAATAGTCGGACTGGGGATTTAGCTCAGCGGCATAAGCACCTGCCTTGCAAGCAGGCAGTCGTGAGTTCGATCCCTGGTACCGATAAAAAGGAAGACAAAAAAGAACCCCTCCCCCCCCCCAAAAAAAACAGTTAAGAAAACAAAAACAAGAAGAGCAAATTTTAAAAATGTCCACTTTGAAGTGTGTCTGTGCTATCACTGGTACACAAAGTGGGCAGGTGGAGTCCAGATCCACGCAGATTCATCCCAGCAGGCCAGCCGTAGATTCACGGCGGGGCAGTGGGTTATCCCAGTGAGGCTGCACCTGTAGTCCCACCAAAGTTCAGGCTGGTTTCTGGCTGTGAGGCTGGAATCTGATTTGTTCATCCTGCAACACTGTGTGCCTCCTGCCGGCTTGAACTCTGCTCCCTACCAGCTAGAAGCAGGCTCCTTGACCTCCTGCAGTCTTGAACTTGGCTCTGCATCACCCTGATCCCAGCAGCCACTAGGGGGAGCTGCTGTGAGTTCCGAGCTAGGCTGGTCCCTCTCCAAAATGACTACCAGCCAGTCGCCCTCTCTGGGGCTGTCTGAACCTGAATGACTCACCAGTCACTGCAGCCCGCTGAATCCACTGCTCCAGTCCACTGGTCGGTCGTTTCTCCAAGGGGAGGCTCTGGAGTCGCCAGTAGTCACAGTCCACCTGCAGATTTGAGCCGCCCCTCTCCCTCAGTGAGTCAGGGCTTGGGGAGCAAATGCAAAACTTCCTACTTCTTGGGGGCTGGGGATTTAGCTCAGCGGCGTAAGCGCCTGCCTTGCAAGCAGGTAGTCGTGAGTTCGATCCCTGGTACCGATAAAAACGAAAAAGACAAAAAAAAAAAAAAAACAAAAAAAAAACTTCCTACTTCTTTATTGGAGTCTCTCTCTCCACCCTCCACTGGGCTTCGGTTCTCCCTGGGTCCCGGGGCCCCTTCCGTCCTCCTGCTCTTTTTCACATTGCTGTATCCCAGGATCTGGACAACAAATCTCGAGCAGGCTGTTTCTCTGCTTTTCACCACTACACTGTCTTCCCAGAAGTGGGAGCAGCTGTATTTTTGTCAAAGGGCCAAATATGAAATCAGAATAAAATATAAATTCTTTGAAAACAAGATTTTGGGAGTTAGCTCAGCCGCACAAATGCCTGCCTGATAAGCACAAAGCTGTAGGTTTAATTCATGATACCAAAAGGAAAAAAAAAAAAAAAAAGGTTTTCTTCTGAAGGAAAAACCAAATAGTTTTAGATACTACAGTGAAGGTATTTTAATCTTTTGGCTAGGGTGATAGCTCAGTGGCCAAGCACTTGCCTAGCCCGTGGATTGACTCCCAGCTCTAAAGGAAAGGGGAGCGAGAGGAAGAGGAAAAAGAAAATGTGGGTCAAACTTACTATAATTTGCAGCACCTTTCTACCTTTACAGTGAGCTAGAAGTCATAAGTACAGCTGTTTATTATGAGCTTCCTGATAGAAGTCATAGCCTCATCCATCCTGCAGTAGCGTGGGATGGGACAGGGGGTGAGCCCTGCATCATGAGGACCACACAGATGATTAGTGGCAGAGCTAAGGTTTGAATCCACACCTGTCTGACCCCCTAACTGAGACTTTCAATAGAGGTCACGTTCAGTTGAAGTGTGTGTGTGCGTATTGTGGGAGAGATTGACCACCTTGTCACTGAGCTACCTGTATATGTTTTTCACTTTATTTTTCATTTAGGCAGGGTCTCGCTATGTCTGATTCTGTTGCACCATGCTCTGCTGTAACCCCACAGCATTTCCCCATCACCTTGTCAGCTAAGCTTCAAGAGCCAGATTCTTTAAGGGTTAATTGCTGTCTTTGCTTCTTTCTGGGATGTGCACTCACTCACTGAAGTGTCTTCTGATCTGCATGGAGATCCAAAGCAGTGCATTATATTGTCTCCATATGTAAATTGCTTACTGACCTGAATTCTGTAGTATTCTTGACTTTCCTATTGTCGTCATAAAAGCCTGTGACAACATAAAGGGCTCAGAATGGTTTTGCAAGGTAATGCGGTGGCGCATGACTGCAGTCTCAGCACACTGGGAAACTGAGGCAGAGGATCCCAAGTTTGAGCCCTGGGTAACTTAGCAAGACCCTGTCCAAAATAATAGATAAAAGGGGCTGGAGGTATTGTTCAGTGCAAAGACCCTGGGATCAATTCTCAGTTCCCCTCCAAAAAAAGTGGCTTTGCTCTCTGCTGTTCTGAGCACATCACCATGGAGATACCTGTGGACCTGTAGTCATTTCTGCTGGGCACTTGGGAATCACAGTGCTGGCTTTTGAATAACTGGGCCTGTTGTTTCTTCCCCTTAGAGACTTAAAGCCAGAGAATATTCTCCTGGATGACCATGGTAAGTGAGCCAGCTTTTGTGCCTAGGTATAGACTCTGTGGAGGGATTTGACATGGAAGCTTAAAGTGTGTGACCAGTTAATGCAGAGTGAAATAGCAATGAAGGAAATTATTTGGGGTGTGTGTGTGTGTGTGTGTGTGTGTGTGTGTGTTTAAACACAATATGGATAGTATTGCCATTTCCCATATTTATGAAAGAAGCAGAGATGGTTAGATTTTCAGTTAATAGTTGAGTTTTCAAAGCATGTAAAGGAAACTCAAAAGTAAGAACATTTAAGGCTGGGGATTTAGCTCAGTGGCACAAGTGCCCACCTCTTAAGTGTGAGGTCGTGAGTTTGATCCTCGGTACAAAACAAAAACAAAGAAAAAGGATAAGAACATTTACCCTCCAAATAATGTTTCTTGTTGGCCCACATCTTGCTTTATTCAATCTCTATTTTTATACTCTCCCTAAGCATTGGTGCTGCAGTAAATAAATGTATAAGTAAATGAGGTCATTAGGATAGATCCAAGTCCAACGACAGTTACACTGGTAAGACTGTTTTCTATAATGATTTTCATGGGAATTCAACATTTATTTATAGCCTCCTACAGGCAGGGAATTCACACTTAGTATACTTCTCCAAGTACTGTAAGTTTATTATTTTCCTGACTTTTAAAATTTATTTTATTTTATTTTTATTTTCCTGACTCTTTGTAGGGGGGGGGGCTTTAAATCACTTGTCCAGAAAAAAACTTTATAACACTTATTATAGTTGTCCTTATATGTAAACCTACTGGTTCTTTTTTTTTTTTTTTTTTTTTTTTTTTTTTGTCTTTTTCCTTTTTATCGGTACCAGGGATCGAACTCACGACTGCCTGCTTGCAAGGCAGGCGCTTATGCCGCTGAGCTAAATCCCCAGCCCCAACCTACTGGTTCTTTAACAGGAATTATTTGCTTTCTATTTGTAGTTGATACACTATTCAGTTTATTTTATATATGTACCTGGCAAGTCTATGGAAGTAAAATACTGTGCTTCGTCTTGTCTAGTTGTGTATGATTGAAGAGCTTTCCCAGGCTTAAATCTATTTCCTGCTGTTAGTGAAGCTTACTGCTCTGTGTAGAATTTTACTAAACATGAACAAGTTAAACGTTATTTTAGATTTAAAGTTTCTATAGGATGAAATGCTATGCTGTCATCTGTGACTTTCTTTTTTTGGTCTTTTTCGTTTTTACCGGTACCAGGGATGGAACTCACGACTGCCTGTTTGCAAGGCAGGCGCTTATGCCGCTGAGCTAAATCCCCAGCCCCCATGTGTGACTTTTAAGAGGATTTTCTCTTGTTGCTAATGTGCTGAAATGCTGTCCCCTCTCCCTGTGATCTGTGCATCATGTTTGAACCCTCACAGGACACATCCGGATTTCAGATCTTGGTTTAGCCGTGGAGGTCCCAGAAGGCCAGATGGTGCGAGGAAGGGTTGGAACTGTTGGCTACATGGGTAGGTGACAGGCCACTGTAGTGGTCCTCACGCTTTCCTGCTCAGCACCTGAAGAAGTTCCTGAAGGCAGGGAGAGTCCCCTGATCTGCAACCCCTTTTACAGACAAGCAGTGAGGGCCATGGAAGGCTCAAGCCTGAGGTCTCTGGCCGTCTCAGGACAGAGGGCCATGGCCCCCTGGGAAACTACTGTTGTACAGGAGACCTCCCTGTTGCTGCCCTCACTGGCTTCCGGGGTCCTCACAGCGAAGGTGACATAGTCACCCACATGTTGAGGCAGAAAGCAGAGGATCAGATGTTGGTGATGCACTTGGAACCCATGGATAGCTCTGAATGGAGGGAGCACCTCAGGATGGTCTTCCCCCCAGCATTGTTGTCCCTTGTCCAACACCCCAAGCCATGCAGCCATTATGCCCCTCCAGGATGAGCAGAGATACATTCGGAACCACAGCTTCATTGAGGGGGTACCCACGCAGCATACCATATGTGTACAACGCTTTGGGTCTTAGTTTTGTTTGCAGAGTTGTGTGACCATCAGCACTACTTTCAGAACAGTTTTTTATCCCCTAAAAAATGAAACCTAATATGGTTGATGGTCACTCTATTTCTCACCTACCGCCCTCAGGCCTGGCAACCACAATTTACTTTCCATCCCTGTAGATTTATGTATTCTTTTTCCTCCCCAGTAGTAGGGATTAAACTCCAGGCCTTCATACTGAGCTATATCCCCAGCCTTTTTTTATTTTGAGACAGGGTCTCGCTAAGTTGCTCAGTTGCCCAGACTGGGCTCACATTTTCTTTGGATCACTCTGCATCAGCCTCCCAGTGTGTTGGGATCGTGTGTGTGCCACCATGCCCAGCTGTTCTGTTTCATACAGTAGACTCAGACAATATTTGGTCCTTTGTGTTTTCCTTCTTTTACCTGTTTTTATGGTTCATCCATGTTGTTAACAAACATTACTTATAATGTATTATTTGGAATTAATGATAGGACAATTTTAAACGAAAATTTAATTAAATTTCCTATATTTGTTATGTAGCTCCAGAAGTTATCAATAATGAAAAGTACACATTTAGTCCTGATTGGTGGGGACTTGGCTGTCTGATATATGAAATGATTCAGGGACATTGTCCATTCAGAAAGCCCAAAGAGAAGGTCAAGCGGGAAGAGGTCGAGCGAAGAGTGAGGAAGGACACTGAGGAGTACTCGGACAAGTTCTCAGAGGATGCCGAATCCATCTGCCGAATGGTGGGTCCATGTCCGTAGCCTGGGAAGGTAGATACCTAGCTCACATGCCTCGTCTGTGGGCAGCTGGGGATACAGTTGCTGCTTGGGTAGGTGGTGCCAGTGGTGTCCAGCCTCAGAAGCCCTGCCCAGCGCATAGAGCCCAAGTTTGCCACCTTCCTGGCTTCCTTTTCCACCTTTAAGAGAGTGGAGTGCTGCCAGAGTCATTGTCCTGCCTCCAGAGCACAGCTGACGGCTGTTTCATTGACTGCTGTGTATGAGATGAGGCCTAAAACCTTTAACATCTTTCAGAATGGGAATGTTGTTGTCTGCCCATTTCCCCCTAAACCAGTGTCAGAATTGTAGACGTCATAGATGTGTGACATGCAGGCCTGCAGCAGCCTGCCCCACAGTGGTGCTGGACAGCTGGGCCTCTTGGCATGCCAGGGCTTCCCTGCTGCCTGAGCACCCCGTGCTGCAGTGAAGAGCCTAAGTCCGGCCCGCCAGGTATAGACTGAGCGAGGGGCACTGGCCCATGTGCCCTCAGAGCTGACTGTTCATACCACCCAAGCCTGCCCTGATGCTAAATTGAAAGCCATTCTCTGCACTACCTTAAAGTGTTTTTTTTTTTTTAAATCAAATTTTTAAAGGATTCATTGAACATCTCAGTTCCAGGTACTATGGTAGGCCCTGGGACACAGCGGTCAAGAGTAGCAAAAGCTCAACCCTCCCGTGCCTGATCCTGTGGCGAGGGTGGGGGTGGGGGACAGGAACAGAACCAGGGGACAGGTATATGGAGGCAGAGGATGGCCTGGGCTCCAGAGGACAGGGACCCCAGGACTGCAGAATGGAAAACTGCATGGGTAGCAGGTCGTTCGGACAGAGTGCTGACAGGAGGGAGGCTGAAGGGGACTTTGCAGCAGCTCAGGGCAACATGGGCTGGCAGAGCAGGTATGAGAAGTGGTCAGGTTCTGGACACAGCTGAAGCCAGAGCCTGCAAGATTTGCCAGCGTGGAGGGGAGGGGTTCAGTTTGATGGCCTGAGCAGAAGCCCCTGGGGAGGGAACAGGAGCCAGCATTCAACGGAAGTGCAGGCAGTTCTGCCTCTGCATCCAGGTTCTCAGCCCCAGTGGGCATGGGGGGACGTGGGAAGTGTGAGGGCAGAGGAGTTGAGAGCACTGCTGGGACAAGCAGCTGAAGGACGAGGTGGAGGCATCAGGGGCTCTGCAGGGAGACGGTGGCTATGGTTGCTTGTGTTCCTGTGCCACTCAGCAGGTGCTTATGGCCCAGAGGGAGCAGCTCTGGGACTGGCCCGGCAGGTGTGATGTGATACAGTAGAAGTGCCAGAGAAGGCAGGTCAAATGTATCAGAGGGGTTCAGCCAGCTTTCCTGTCGAGAACTACACTACCTGACAGTCACAGCCTAAAAGGGAGGATGTATTTGGCTTGTGATTTAGAGGGTTCTATTGGGTTCTCAGCAGGGGACATCATGGTGGAAAGGAACAGCATAGGCTGAGGGCCAGGTAGCTGAGCCAGGAAACAGTGCCAAAGAGGAAGGACCCAGGACAGATCCTGAGCCCAAAGGCACGCCTGTACAACCCTCCCACACTCAGAGTGTGCCTTCCTAACCCCTAGTAGCTCTTGAGCCAACCCAGGCTGTCCGCTCTAGCCGCTGTACAGATGCCAGCCTTGGGTCCTTGGAGTCTAGCACTTGTGGCCCAGAGTCAGTGGGCTGGAAGAACATGCGGAGAGCAGGCCGCTTGGCATGGAGCTGACAAGGTCCTGCTGGTCCTGAGAAGCTGAGGTGGGGCTGCAGGAGCCAGTGGCCTTAAGGGGAGGAGTGGAGGGAGAGCAACCAGGCTAGGTCCCTGGCACAGGTGTTGGAATCACCAGCAATTGTACTATAGCTACATGGCTGGTGAGTGCTAGTAACTGGACAACGATTATTGTCTTTCCATTTTGTTCCCACAAACGGAGTGATGGGGTCCCAGGCTCACCGCTGAGCTGAGGACATTGCAGTGTCCCATGGAGCGCTGTTCCCACACATGAAGTGACAGGGTCTCGGGCTCACTCCTGAGCTGAGGGCATTGCACAGTGTCCCATAGAACGCTGATCCCACACACAGAGTGACAGGGTCCTGGGCTCACCCCTGAACTGAGGGCATTGCACAGTGTCCCATGAAGCAGTGTTCCCACACACAGAGTGACAGGGTCCAGGGCTCACTGCTGAGCAGAGGGCATTGCACAGTGAATGTCCCATGGAGTGCTGTTTCTGTTGGGTTTCATGAGTGCTAGTGAGTGCATGCTGTGCACAGGGCATTCTTCTGGGTGGCAGGGTTGTAAACACAAAGGTGGAACCCATACCCCAGGAGCACACAGTTTAGCTTTAGGCCTGACCCTTAAAGACAATGAAGGAATAAAAGCAGAATTTGGTGGGTGCTGTGAACAAGGTTTTTGGGGTGAAATTCCCTTGTGCTGAATTCATCAGCCAGTGTCTTAGGGGAGGGCTGTCTGCTGTGAGTGAAGTTTGCAGGTTTGGAGACTGGCCAGGGGTCTGAGCTTCCTGTGATGAGGTGCAGTCTTGTGGCCCTTTCAGTGCTGTCAGTGGGCCTGCATGCCACCTTCTCACCAGCAGAAGAAATGAGCCAGATGTGGTGTGGTGTGTGAGGTCAGGGTCGCTCTAGGGAGTGCAGGGATGAGAACATTTGGCTCTTCTCGGTGGTCCAGGTGGGAGTTCAGTCTAAGCTGATGCTTGAAGGCGTTTATAGTTTTCAGGACCTTGTTTAGTCTTCGTGATGGATGTCTGAGATAGTGTCACAGCCTCGTGGTTGAAAGTTCTGTTTGTTTCTGTGATTCACATGGTAAGCAGGAGTCCCCATGCTCAGGCACAGTCCCGCTCTGTCTGCAGGCCACATCTTGATGCCCTCGGGCTGCTGTGTTAGAATCCTTGAGCGAATAATCACCAGGAAGGTCCCGCTCATAGCCTGGAGGCTGGAAGCCCGAAACGGGGCTGGCGGGCCGGTGTTTGGTGAGGGCCCACGTTCTGGCTCGTAGTGCCATCTTCTCACTGTGACCTCACTCAGTGACAGGGTAAGCAAGCACTCTTGGACCCTGGCTAACAAATGAGGGTATCTGTACCCCCTCAAAGTGCATTGAGGATCAAGTTTCAACACGTGACTCTTGAGACTACCGCAGCCCTCACTTAGGGGTGTGGATAGCACACTTAACACTGGAGTTGGAGAACCCCTGAGATGCAAGGACAGTGTTTAGCATTACACTTCATTTTTAGAGCTGTTGTAAATTTACAAAGCATGTGCAGGATGCATGCAGTGAATAGTTACTGAGCACCTGCTCTGCTGAGGCTTGGGGACACAGCAGCAGGCGCGGGAGTTGCATAGCCCCTGCCTCAGGAAGCTTCCAGGGGAGTGGGGAGAGGCTGGCAGCATGCAGTTACCCAAAGGGTTGTGGCATCTACTGTGACTAGAGTCACATGGACCAGTGAGGACATTTGAGATTGTCCTTTTATGGGGGGGGGGGGACCTGGGAGCTGGGGCCTGCAGAGCTCAGGACTCTGTCAGGCAGAGCTCTGTAGACAGAGACTCTGGGGGCAGGCACAGCCCAGCCCAGAAGGCAGAGAGCTCAGAGCCTGATGATGGGGTAGGCACAGGAGTGGGGCCTCAGATAAGCAGACCAGACTGCCATCCTGGATCAGGACACTGAGAGTGGGTGTCTGCCTTCGCCTGGATCAGCAGGGTCTTCTGTGAGGCATCACTGGGCATTGCAAGTCCCCACGACAATCTTAGTGCTGCTGTTGTGGTACCTGGCAGCCACAGTAAGGCAGAACCCCACACCATGGCTGTATAGCAGCCAAGCCTTACTTTAAAAGTAGGTAGCTGGGGGATTTAGCTCAGCTGCATAAGTGCCTGCTTTGCAAGTGTGCGGTCGTGATTTCTATCCCTGGTACCGATAAAAAGAAAAAGACAAAAAAAAAAAAAAAAAAAAAGTAGGTAGCTGGCGGTGTGTGGCCCTGGGCTGTGGTTTCCCAGCTCTCTGGACTGTACGTGGAGTTCCAGACCTTTAGTCTGTTGCTTTGCTGTATAACAAACAGGCTCTTGCTACATTGCCTAGGCTGGCCCTGACGTCTTGGGCTCAAGCAATCCTGTATGGGCAGATGCCACCACTCCTGGCCTTTTGTGATAAATGTAATCATAGAGCAAGGCTTTTTGGTTTTTTTTGTTTTTTGTTTTTGTACTGGGAATCAAACTCACTTACCTGGCAGGCACTGTGCCACTGAGCCATATCCCTGGCCAAGCAAGGCTTTGAATTTGTGCCATTGTAAATGTTTATAAGGAATAATTTGGAGGCATTTTCTATTAAGTTTATGATTATATAATTTCTGGAAAGACTTTTACTAAATTTTTGCCTCACCCAAGGTCCTTAGAAATCTATGTAGTAGGTAGATTAAAAGTGATTTCTAATTATAAATACTGTATAACTTAGCTTTACAGTAGTATCTTTGAAGTCCTCAGTAGTTTTTATTTCCTTTTTTAAATCTTCTAATTTTACTTAACTACATTTTTTTAATAAGGATTTAACTTAGTCAAACCCTTATTTACTGAGAGTTCATAGAGAAAACTTGAGCCCCACCTTCTGTAAAGCAGCCCTAATCTAATTTGTAAGATCTGGCGGTTTGTAAAATTCGGCTGATGGTCTGCGCTGGATGGGTCGCTATGTTTGCTCAGATGCAGGTGCTCTCGGCTGCCCCAGCCTCCAGTTACCGTGGAGGGAGGCTTTAGGTCTTCCTGCAGCCCCTGATGCCAACTGTTTCTGCTTTGTGTAGTTACTTGCTAAGGATCCGAGTGAACGGCTGGGCTGCAGGGGCGATGGTGCCACTGGGGTGAAGAAACACCCTGTGTTCAAGGACATTAACTTCAGCAGGCTGGAGGCAAATATGGTGGAGCCCCCTTTCCGTCCTGATGTGAGTACCCTGCCCAAAGTCCCCAGGAACACACTTTTGGTTGAAGCAGATACAAGGTCCCTAGGTACAACGAGGGTGTGGCTTCTGCTCCATCGTTGATGCTTTTTCCTCTGTCCCCTGTCACCTTCCTAGGAGCTCTGTGGCTTCAGGGCCCAGGATCTGCTGTCAGCTTTCATTGTCCTTCTCAGAGACTCATGAGCCACCATAGACATCCCAGGGTACCTTTCAGGGCCACCCTCCCTTTTGCCCTTGTGCTACCTTCCTGTACAGCATGTACCTACTGTGTCAGTCTGCATGCTGGACCCCCTGAGGAGCAGGCCTCCTTGTGACCTTGCTGTTGGAAACAAGTGAGTTCATGTCTCCAAGATGCTCCGCACTGGCCGGGCCTTACCAGCATCTGCCAGGAATTAGGTGCTTATGAATGATGAGCGGTGAATGAAGGAACACTGGCCAGACCCTGCTCTGAGACTGAGACATTTACATTCTAGAGAAGCAACAATGAAACTTTTAGAGCCAACGGCCCAAACTGCAATCCCAAACCCACTTATTTATGGCAAAATGCCACCACTGCAGTTAAACCTGAGCACTGAGGTTTTAGTTTAGAAAAACAGCTCATACATTAAAAGAAAAACACAATAACAGAGCTTTCAGTGATACAGCCCGCTGCAACAGGCATGTTATAGGTTCACCGTCACTGTTCTAGACATTTGAAGATAAGGGAATTTTGCAGGGTTTGATGGATGTACCATGAAAATATTGTCAGCTGTAGGACTTGTTAGGTTTACTGTACACAGTAAGTCCCTGACTTGAGATCGGGTTTCATTCCAGGAGAATTGTTCATAAGTGGGATTCGTTTGTAAGCCAACGAAATAAGCCTTCTACCATACACCTATGAAAGTTCATATTCATATTCCATAGCAGTAACTTTTCTAGTGATGTAGTAGATACCTACTACCTGCCAGGCCCCACTCGAAATAAGGCCACAAGGAGAGCAGGACAGGCAAGCCCTCTGCTCCTGGAGCCTGTGGTGCTGCACGGATGGGCCACAGAGCCTGGCAGCGCACTGGAAGGTGCTGTCTCAGGATTGTGTGGCAGGGACATTGGAGGGACTGCACGGCCTAAGAGGGGGCTGCCTGGAGTTGGGAGGAGGGAAGGCAGGCTCCAAGGAGGGACATGTCCACAGTCCTGAGAAGAAGAGGAGCACATGGGGCAGCGTCTCAGACTTTGTCTGTGTTCTCAGAGTTCAAGCAGAGAGCCTGGCAGAGCCAGTTCTTAGCAGAGGTCCATGGGGGAGGTTTTGTGGCAGGTCCTACTGGTGTGGAATGGTGTGGCGTGTGGGTTAGGGCCAGGCTCAGGTCTCTGGGTGTGTGCCCTTAGGCCCTGTCCCCTGCACCTTGTGGGGTGAGGGAGTGGACAGCAGCTACCATAGGGCCATGCTGACCGTGACCACAGTGCCACTGCTTTCACCCTGGTGCTTGGGGTTTGCATGAAAACTGGCAGGCAGCAAAGTTCTTGCACTCACGGGTTGCCTCCTTCCTGGGCTGGCAGAGCCTGGTGTGCAGAGCTCTGCATTTGGTGTCCTTAGCCGGGAAGTACAAGCTGCTGCTCTGGCAGGAGGTGGAGGCCCACGCCTGGGCAGCCCTGCAGGCAGCTGACCCCTTACCCAAGGGCAGCAGGGCTAGGGAGGAGTGTCAGGGAGGGCTGTGGGCCTGTGGAGCTGAGCAGGAGGGAGGGTACTGGGGCATTAGCAAAGCTCGGCGAGGGCACAAATATGTTGCCTCTTTCCCACTCTGGAAGTGGGTGCTGCAGAGGAGGGTACCCTGGGCCACTCTGTACGGCTACTGGTCGCTGTGCCTCTTAACAGCGCTCCAGCTCTGCCCTTAGTCTTCCAGCTGAAACCTCATCCTGCCTTCTCCTTTCCTGGCATTGTAGTATCCATCATCCATTGCACAAAGAGAAGGGGAGTATGTGCATATGTGCATGTGTGGGTGTGCGTGTGTGCATGCATTTGTGTGTGTGTGCTTCTTGGAGGCATTTCCAGAAAGATCTCAGGACTGCAGGTCAGAGGATTCACCTTGTATGAATTAGGGAAACGCTTCCAAAGAGGGTAATGAGTAGGGAGGGAACTAGCGTGCTTGCACGTGGGCTTGGTAGGTGGCAGTTACCCTGGCCGTCTCGGAAGTTATGCCTCTCTGTTCTTGATGTGCAGCCAAATGCTGTTTATTGTAAGGATGTCTTAGACATTGGACGGTTCTCCGTGGTGAAGGGCGTCAATCTGGACACCACAGATGACAACTTCTACGCTCAGTTTGCAACGGGGTGTGTCTCCATCCCCTGGCAGAAAGAGGTATGGCCATGTCTAGCAGAGAGGCTCATGCTTGTTCCACAAATGACAAAAATGTGTGAATTTATCCAACTCTTGTTTTTTTTTGTCTTTTTCCTTTTTATCGGTACTGGGGATCCAACTCATGACCTGCCTGCTTGCAAGGCAGGCGCTTATGCCGCTGAGCTAAATCCCCAGCCCCTGTTTTGTTTTGTTGTGTTTTTCGAGAAAAGGTCTTGCCATGTATACAGTTCAGGCTGGTCTTGAACTCACTATATAGCCTAGGCTGGCTTTGAACTTGCAGCAACCCTCCCACATCGGCCTCTGAGTGCTGGGGTTACAGGTATGTGGCACCACACCTGACTTGTGCAAGACTTTTGACCCCAGGCCTAAATCATGGGCAAGCCGAAACCATGCCAGCAATTGTCAGAAACATGGTGGCCGCTCTGGTCCTGGTTACAGGAAATGTACAAAAGTGGCCATCTTGGTGCCAGTGGGGTGTGCCACCCTCCTGGAATCCTTTTTGCTCAGCAGGGCGACTTTGGGGTACACTGGGAGGGGAGCCACATTACTGATCCCAAGAAGAGGTTGTGAAGCTGGACAGTGGGGCTCCGGGGGAGGCCAGTGGAGTGGTGGGCTCTGCAGCATCCACCTGGGGCCAGGCCAGGCTGGGAGCTGATGGTGCTGGGGGACCCCAACTCCCCTTGTCCCACAGCTCCTCTGTCCTCTGTGCTCTGTGTGCAGATGATCGAGTCTGGATGCTTCAAGGAAATCAACGACAGTGAAAATAAGTGTCTGGAGGAGACACTGTGTCCCCCGGCAGCCAGGCCCAAGAGGAACCTCTTCTACAGGTTCTTTGGAAGAATGGTAAGAAAATGTTTTTTAAAAAATAAATATGTCAAAAATGTTTGCTGAAGTAAAATCATGCTTTCACCTTTTTCAGGCCTCACAAGTGGTCCTCTTGAGAGCTGGGCCTGTCTTCCTGGGGAGCCCACAGGTGGTACTGTGCAGATCCACAGGAAGGAGGGGGGTGATTGGCCAGGGACAGGACTCCAGAGCCAGCATGGTATCAGCCTCCCATGGGGCCACCTAAGCATGTAGTGCAGTGCTTAGGGTTTCTAAGCTCTGGTTGCTGTGGCTACTGTTCTGTCCCATCCTGCTTGCACTGGGAGAGCAGGTCCCCTCCTTATGGTGGTGTCACTTGGAGAAGTCATGTGAGGGGTGCTGGACTGTATCCCCAATCCCTTTTATTAATTTTGAGACAGCATCTCACTTAGTTGCCGAGATTGGCCTGAAATGTGGAATCCTCCAGCCTTGGCCTCCGGTCTGCATGCTGGGATTTCAGGCATGTATCTTGATACCCGACTCTGAGGGCACTAAATTTAGAAAAAGTTTTCTCCTCATAAAACTTTTCTCCTCAGATACGTGGATTATCCTGCTTTGCATCTGCTCGTCCCTTCCTGAGGGGCTTATGCAAAGGTTATTCACTAGCATTCCAATCTGTCATTTTTCAGGATTCAACACAGACCCCAAGTGGTAAGCCATCTCCCAAAGTGGTGGCTGCGTAACCACATTTCCTCTGAGAACTCGGGCTTGGTCATGGACTGGCCCAGTGGGCCGCTCCACCTCCCGGAGTGTTGTAAGTCCAGCTTGGACACCCTCCCTGGGTGCTCCCACCAGGATAATCTGGAAGGAGCTGCTCCTCCGCCCCACACTCTGGGGAGCAGGGCCTGTGAGCCCATCCCTTGGTCCACAGTGGTGGCTACAGTGCAGGAAGCCTCTTCTGCTCTTGGCTCTTGAGGGTGACAAGGAGAGAATAGAGAAGGCCCTTTTTTGCCCTACAGTTAGCCCCTGGGGGTAGTTACCACACCGCAGGCTGTGGTCCTAGGCCTCTGGGTTCCCCTGGGCCCTCGGAGCAATGGGGCCGTCCTCATGCATATTCAGATCATCGGCACTCTGCGTGCAGTTTCCAGTAGGAGTGCTGTGGAATTACTTGTTACACTGTGTTTTTCAATTCGTGTTTTTGTGGTTGTATTGTTTTTATTCTACCTTTATAATATTATTTTGCTTCAGTAATCAAATAATTATTGGGTTGGTTGAATCTGTGCTTGCATGCGGAAGCTGCAGTTGATTCAGAGAGCTGACTGTGTCCTTGAGGGAAGTCAAGGCAGCTCACACTGGGACATGCTGAGGTGCAGGGTCCTGTGTGTTGCAGGGCTGCCTGAGAACCAACCGCTGAGAGGAGACCCTGTAGGATGGTGACCGTCACCCTGCAGACCATGGAGGCCGCCCTGATGCTGAGGCAGAGTCACAACTGGTATCCCATGCTCCCGCTGGTTTAATAAATGCAATCTGTGACAGTGGAAAACGTGCCTTTGCAGATTCTTCTACATCATCCTGCATTATCCCTTCACTAAGGGGAACTGAAGTATAGGCCTGGGAGTGTGTGTGGTGCTAGAAGCACGTGTGCCCATGGAGGTGGGCATGTGGGCTTGGGGACAGATGAAAAGTCCACACCCACCTAGTAGTGCCATGCACCCTTCCCAGGACTGGTCTCAAGGACACAGTGGCCAGGCCTCCTCTCCGCAGGCCATTCCCTGAGGCCCCATGTGAGTGGCCGGCTCTGTCTCTCCCTCCACATACCTAACTGCCCCTTAAAGGGTTGGGTTTCCATGGCTCTACAGTTGGGGCTCAGCAGGCAGGCAGGTGAGCCTGAGTGTGTTACTGATCCCATCACTATGCACTGTGACCTGCTGAGATGGTGCCTATACCAACCTTGGCTACTGGGCTGGGTGTGATGTCCAGTCAGAGTTGAATGGCAGGGCTGTGTGTTGGAGGTGGTGGAGTCTTCGGTAGACACTGTCTAGCCGGGCAGCTGTGGATCACTGGGATGCTCCTTCCTCCTCAAGCCTTTCTTCCTCCTCTTTCCTTCTTTCCTTCTCTTCCTTCCTCATTTCTTTGTTTTTTGTTCTTTTTTCACTTAAGCTTCTGAGCTGACTTTTTCATGCCCAAGTGAAAGGGATTCCAATGAGTCATGCAATGAACCTAGGTGAGGATTTTTACTGACTTATTCAGCCTATCCTTTGTCTTTCTGATTGTCAGCAAGCACAGACCTGCCCTGTGCCTCTCTTGTCATTCTCTGAGGCCTCTGGTACTCCCAGCTGGCTTGCTCTGTTGCTGTGTTGGGTGTTGTCCTCCAAGTCGGCCCAAGCCTTTGTGGCTTCCCTGTGTTGCTCTCCCCCATCACTGCTGGGCCTGGGTGTAGGTCCCTTGAGCCCCCGCTGTGCCATCATCTGTTCCCTGTCACCTGGAGGATGAGCCATGAGTTTCTTCCATCAGCTTCCCTTGGGCTGATTGCTCCCTTTTCAGGGCCAAGCCACCTGACACAGCATGGTGCAGACAAGGAGAGACTGTTTCTAATCATGTGCTTCAGGGAGGGAAGAGCCAGCTGGAGGACAGAACTCATCTGCTGGGGGCCCCTCCACGCACTCAGGCCTTGTCAATGAACAGGGCTGCCCCCTGGCTGGGGCTGTCCTGCAGAAGCCTCCTGACTCTCCCCATTCCAGGGCTGGGGCCTTTAGCGGGGATTGAAGCCATAATCACAGCCTTTTTTTTTAAAATCGGCACCAGGGATCGAACTCACAACTGCATGCTTGCAAGGCAGGCACTTATGCCACTGAGCTAAATCCCCAGCCCCATGGTCACAGCCTTTGATGACTCTTGTAGTCCAGCTATGCGAGCCCTAGTCACTGAGGAGAAGAAGAGTGAGTAGGGGACATGATGCCATGTGTGGGGAAGTGGTTAGGGGTCCTTAGACATGTCTGGACCCAGATAAAGGAAGGCAGAGCCTGGGCATTGGGGTCAGCAATGCCCCACTCAGATAAAGAGTAGAGCACACCCTGCCTTTGAAGTCCTCCCTTGGGGCTGTGGTTCTCTTGCATTGACAGGGATTCCTGAACCTGTCAACCTCTCAGAAACCACATAGGCTGTCTGGCTCTCTGATACGAAAGAGATCAAAGGAGGGAGAAAAAAGAAAGAAAGAATGAAAGAAAGAGAGAGAGAGAGAGAGAGAGAGAAAGAGAGAGAGAGAGGGAGGAAGGGAGGGAGAGAGAGAGAGAGAGAGAGAGAGAGAGAGAGAGGAAGGAAGGAAGAAAGAAAGAGAAAGAAAGAAAGAAAAAAGAAAGAGGGCTTTATCGCGGGTATGGGAGGGCTCCCGAAGACAGGTAAATACCTCTGAAGGAACAAAGGAATAAAAACCGTGCTTTTATTTGGTTTTGACAGTGGAGGGGTAGAGTGGCGTATCGACAGCTGATTGGATGAGCCTGGGCGCGTGCCCAGAAAAGCGGGAGGTTTGATTTTAGTTTCCCATGAAAACCAAGGAAGGCAGTGCTGAAGAGAGGTGCTGTTGGGCGCCATGTTGACTTGCACGTGGGAAAAACCCCGTCACAGACAACAGAGAAGGCAAAGCAACTTCTGCCCTAGACTCCTGGCTCCGAGGGGTGACAGCCAGGCATGAGTCTGTCCATGGGCGCAGCTCTGGCCCTGGAGCGAGGACTTCGGGATGGGGTACCCTTGGGTGAGTAGGAGGGATAAGAGGTTTTCGCACAGGAAGGCTGCACAATGAGGGAGGGAGACTGAGGAAGCCTACGGCCTCTATGGTTCTAGGGCATCCCCATAGGGGACCTGTGGTTTAGGTCCCCTGGGGGAGCGTTAACAGGTGAGTGCAGAGCCATGCGGGTATTCCGGGAGGTCAGGATGTGCCTGAGAAGGTCACTGCAGCAGAACTGCCCAGTCCAGGCAGGGTCTGCGGGGCCAGCCAAGCAGGCTGTGTCAGCCATGGCCAGCAACTGAGAATCAGCATGCTGAAGAACTAGGGGAGAGGGAAGGCGTGGACTGTGCTGTGCTTCAGAGGTGAGAAAGTGACTTGGACCTGAAGTGGCCCATGAGATGAGGTAACATGTCAGGAGTCTCATATGCCTGCAACGGCTGGACCTGGCTGCTCCACTGGTGCACTGGACAGGAGGTGCAATCACATGAGGCCTCCTGCTGCTGGGACACGGACCCTGGGAGACAGGTGGCCTTGGTGGGTGCACAGGAGAGCACTTGGCTTGGAGGTAAAGAGTGAAAGGTCATTGATTAAGAACTGGATTTTCCTGTATCACAGGAAGTTAGTACATGCAGGAAGGTGAGTGGTACATAATCCAGGAGCTCAGGACAGTGTGACTTAGGAGGCATTGATATTGTGTTTGGTGCTGATGATCAGGACACACACTCTTTACAAATATCTGAGAGCGCTGGTGAAAAGTGATCACACATTAGGTCATTGTTGTAACCCACCCAAAAAGAAGGCCCTATGATGAAAAACGGGGCAAGATCCCCAAGATGATAAATGGGGGCAAGACGTCTTTTTTAAAAGAAGCACTTTTATTTTAGCTGGCCCAGCGACACAGTGCAGATGGAATTTGCAAAGCTGTGCAATTGAGTTAGAGTTTTGACTGATTTTTATAGTTTATTTATGATTAGCTCATTGGTCATTAAGTACATAGCGATGAGAAACAGAAATAAGGTGGGCCTTTGTTCCCCTTTGCTTGAGGTAAGAGGCATTTCACAGGGGATGGTTAGCCAATTCATAGCCCTTGGTCTGTCAATTCCAGGAACATTTGTCTCTCATAAAGGGAACAATGGTTGACACAACATCATTTGTCTCTTACAAGGGGGAACAAAGGTTGACATAGCACACAGGTTACTTGGGGGGGGTGATGGGTACAGAACAGCATAATGACAGGGTCAGTTAATTTATAACTATGTGGTGGGTGCTTGGTTACTAGGGTAACAAGTTCAGTACAGAATGACAATACTGCTAATAACTATCCTTTTAACTATTTTTGCTAATTATCTTTTAATTATTTTAATTTTTCAGCATCTAACAGTCATGAAGAAAACCTTCATAGAATAAAACCTTGTGGTGGTACCTGTCTGTAATCCTAGCTTCTAGGGAGGCAGAGGCAGCAAAATCAAAAGTTCAAGACCAGCCTGGGCGGTGTAGCAAGACCCTGGCTCAAAATTCAAGTAATAAATTAACTAAATAAATGGGGCTGGGGATGTAGCTCAACTCGTCCTGGGGTCCCCCAGGCAGAGAAGGAATGAAGATAAACGAATTGAGCCTATAACCCAAAAAAGAAAAACAACAACATAAAATTTTTTGATCAAAAATCAGAAGGGAAAATATTAAATGCAGAAATTGATGGGTATAAAACAAAACTATCATACAAGTAGTAAAGATGATTATTCTTTTAAAACATCAACTAAATATAATCAACTAAATAATACCTAACTAACCTAAGAAAAAGAAACCTGAGGGAGGCTAGCAGAAGAGGATGTCAAAAGAAGATGTTCTGTACACAGTGTAATCATTATGCACTAAAAAATGTACTAATTAAAATTTATAAAAAATCATTATAATAGAAAAAGAGAGTGCCATGGATATAGCTCATTGACAAAGTGTCTGCCTGGCAAGCATGAGGTCAGGAGTTTGATTCATGGTACCAAAACAAAACGAAAAGAGAATGGGAAAAAAAATACAGATACATAAAAACTTCAAGGGAAGAAGATCACATAAAGAGATAATGAATACTTACACAGTTTCATGAAGATAAACATGAAACCTGGATGCAATGCATTTCTCAGAAAATATAATTTATTAAAAGTAACTACAAGTAAAACAAAGTCTAAACAGACCAATTCTAAGAGAAGAAATAAAGTTGTCAAAGAGCTACTTGTACCGGGATTGAACAACTTGACATGGGAATGTCAAAGACTCGGAGAACAAGTAGTTCAGGTGCAATTTAAGTGTTCCTCAGCCTATAAAAGGAAAAGCTTCCAATTCTTTAAAAAAGCAAGAGTACACTGATACCAAAATCGCATACAGACCTTATGCAGAATGTCATGCCAATCTCTTTTATGAATATTAGTACAAAAACCCTTCATAAAATATTACCCCACCTATAAAAAAGAACTCAACAATCCATTTAAAATATTACATCATGCAGGATATTTACATCAGCAGCATAGTGCCTGCCTTGCAAGTGCACAGTCATGAGTTCAATCCCCAGTACAAAAATAAATAAAAATAAAAAATAAGATAAAATATTACATCATAATTGTGTGGTTTATTTCAGTAATGCATGGGTAGTTCAATACTAAGAAACTCAATTGCATAATAAATTATGTAAAGAGCCAAGAGAAGAATCAAAGATTATTTTCATAGCCGCTAAAATGGCAAATCCCACCAGCTGGAAAGATGGAAGGGGTAGGATTTGTCGTCTGCAAATGGTCACCACTTGCTCAAGGATGCCCTGCTCAGTCTTT